TGACACAGGGAATTCAGTGGATCTTTCTCAGTTGCCTTATGGGGTTCCGTCAAGTGTTCTTAGATGAAAGTAAGATGGAAAGAAATATGAATAATAAGATTCCAGTTTTTTTTTTAAACAACAAATAACCTCTTGCTATGGTTTGGATGTCATTTGCTCCCAAGAGTTCATATGTTGGAAGCTTGGTCCCCAGTGTGAGAGGCTGTGGAACCTTTAAGAGGTGGGGCCTCGTGGGAGGTGTTAGGTCACTGGGGCCATCGGCTTTAGAAGGAATTAATGCTGCTTTCGGGGAGTGAGTGAGTTCAAGCAAGAGAGTGATCCGACATAAAAGAGCAAGCATGGCCCTGAAGAATTCCTCTCTGACTTCCTGTCTTGCCATCTGATCTCTCCCTGTTGCACAAACTTCCCATTGTGGTGCCATCTGCCATGAGGCCCTCATCAGAGGCTGAACTGATGAGACCACCCATCCTTGGGCTCTCAGTCTCCAAAAATGTAAGACAAATAAACCTCTTTGCTTCATAAATTACCCAATCTCAGGTGATTTTTTATAACGATGAAAAACTGACTAATACACCCCCCTTGACATGCATATATGTGCTTAGTTATGGTCAGTGGGAATAGAAGAGGTGTAAAGGAGCACATTGGATCGTGAGCTTTGGTCATGAGGATGGACTGGAAGAGAGGCAGAGGATGAAGGAAGACTGCCCTTAGGTGGGCACTGGTGGCTCATGCCTGCAATCCTAGCTACTTGGGAGGCTGAGGTTCAATGCCAGCCTAGGCAAACAGATCTTGAGACTCCATCTCCAAAACAACCAGAGCAATATGAACTGTAGTGTGGCTCAAGTTCACCTGCCTAGCAAGCTCAAAGCCCTAAGTTCAACCCTTAGTTCCACTAAAAAAAAAAAAAAAGACTGACCCTGATGACTGGTGCTGGTGCCTGTGTATTAGGACCAGCTTAAACACATCTCCATGTTTGTGTGTGTCTATTCTCATAAAGTAATACCTGAAGGGTGTCACCAAATGACATGGTGGCTTTTATTTTAATTATTTTAATGAATATGTCACTGATATAATCAGAGAATCAGTAATGAAATCCTAAAAGGGCAGGTTTCTTTGGATGGATCCTCCAGAACCAGCTTCTGACTGTTCCTGGAGAGTCCAGAGCACAATGACAGTACAGCCCCACAGCTGAGCTCTGATGGTCTCGAGTGCAGTTTGTGCTCAGGGACCCCAAGAGTGGCTCCATCGCCAGTATGCAGGCCACACAAAAGAATTCCTGAGTCTTTTTTTTACTGCTCTGGGTGGCGCCCTGGAATCCCTGCGATGGTGACTATTTGTAAATGACTGCGAATTTTTATTTTCACAAAGCTGTCGGGAACTGGAGACTCTAGGTTTATCGAGACCATCAGCTATGCAGAGGCCAGCTTCTGGCTTATCATTTGCTACTCATCCTTTCCTTGTGCAGACATCAGCAGCTTTTTTACTGCTTGGCTGTGAACCATTTTCTCTGTCATTCGTTCTGCCAAGCTTGAAAAGAAAAACTTTTTAAAAAGCTACACATTTTTAAAAAAATCAGATCATGCAACACCTTGCTTAACACCTTCAAGGGCCTCCTCCTGCACTGGGGACAGAATCTAGAGTGCTCAGCCAGAGGGACACAGAGGGGCTGACATGATTGGACCTTGTATCCCAAGGAGGCCTCCTAGTCCCTGCATGAGACTGCTCCCCTTTCCCCCTTCCCTCCCAGCCCCCAGCTTCTCTCTCTCCCTTTTCCTCCTCCTTCTTTCTTTCTTCTTCTTTCAGTACTGGGGTTTGAACTCAGGTGTGCTACCTCTTGAGCAATGCCCCAGCATGTTTTGCTCTGGTTATTTTGGAGATAGGGTCTTACTTTTTGCCCAGGCCAGTTTGACCACAATCCTATTTAAGGCTTCCTGCTGTCTCTGGGATGACAGGTACACACCACCATGCCCAACTTTTTCTGTTGAGATAGGGTCTTGCTAACTATTTTCCCTGGACTGGCCTGGGACCACGATCTCCACCTTCTGCATAGCTGACATGACAGGCCTGAGACCACCGCGCCTGGCTCTAGCTTTTCATTTTTACAATGTTCAGCTGGGCTCTGGTGGCTCATATCTGTAGTCCTTGCTACTCTGGATGCAGAGATCAGGAGGATTGTGACTTGAAGCCAACCCAGGCAGACAGTTCGTGAGACTCTATCTCAAAAAAACCCAATACAAAAAAGGGCTGGTGGAGTGGCTCAAGGTAGTAGACCCTGAGTTCAAACCCCAGTATTGCAAAATAAACACGTAATAAAATGTTCAAACATAGAAGAGTTGAAAGGATGGTGGCTATTCAGGGAGCCATCGCTGACACTCAATAATTACCATGTGGTCCTGTTTGGTGGACCGTGTGTATTTTGCTGAAACATTGACAACCTAACTGTAGACATGACACTTAGCTCCTAAACATGTTAACATGATCTCCTAGATATCTCCTCCATGTTACGTGCTATCATTACACCCCAGAGTCATTCTCTCCTACTGGGTCTACAATCTAATGAAGCCAGTTGTTCCCAACTGCACCTGATAGATGTTGAAGATCCGCCAAGTTTTCTGCATCGTGGTTGGTTAGTGCGTCTCTTTATATTCTTCTAGCCTGGAACAGATACTTGAAGTGTGGCTTGGAAACTTTTTAAAAACCAACTTCATGCTGGGCAAGGTGACTCATGCCTGGAATCTCAGCTATTCAGGAGGCATAGGTAGATCGGGAGCATAAAGGGGCCAGTCTGGGGGAAAAAGTTAGTGAGACCCTCATCTCAACAAAAAATCTCAGTGTGGTGCTGTGTGGTTTTTGTTCCAACTATGAAGGAGCTTCTCGGTCTGAGGCCAGCTCTGGGTGAAAGTGTTGAGATCCTATCCAAAAGTAACTAAAGCAGAAAATGTGGCTCAAGTGGGAGAGTGCCTGCCTAGCAAGCGCAGGGCTGTGAGTTCAAACAGACCTGGTGGGGGGAGAGAGAGAGAAATCATGAAGAACTGCACTGCAGGGTCATTTGTAGTAGTGAAAAGTTAGAAGTAACTCAAGTAATTAACGGTTGGAAGATGGTTTCATAAGTCTGGGGACATCCATTCAGGAGGCTACTGTCAAACCAGTAAAATGTCACACTCTGCATGACACCTTTAAAGGCAGGTATGCCAGCTGTGATGGCTGATATGGTGGTTCACATCTGTAATACCAGCACTTGGGAGGCTGAAGCAGAAAGATCTTGAGTTTGAGGGCAGCATGGGCTACATAACAAGACCCTGTCTCAGAAATTAAATAAAGAATACATACATATATACATACATATGGCGATTACGAGGCAGCTTCTCCAGTCAGTAAGAAAATGTTGTTGAGACAATAATGTGTGGGGGGTGTGGGGTGTGGGGAAAGCAAGCTACAAAATGGTCAACAGGTGTCTTAGGTTGTAAAGGACAGAAAGCCACTCCAAATTAGTTTAAGGCCCACAAGATATTTCATGAGGACCGACAATATATCATGAAATCCAAGTACAGTAAGCCAGACCCCATGTGAGCAGGAATGTGGAGTCAGAAAACTGACGAGGGCTGTGTTCTCTCTCTCCTTCCCCCCCCCACCCCACACATACTACTGTACCAAAAGAAACTGCTCCTTTTCTTCCTGGGCACCCATTTCCCAGCTTCCTTTGCAGTTAGGTGTGGTCAGGTGACTCTTCTTCCCATAGAATGAGAGTGGAAGTGACGTGGTCCAGGTGCAGGGCTGAGGTTAAAGTGGATATACTGGGCTGGAGGCGTGGCTCAAGTGGTAGAGCACTACCTACCAAGCATGAAGCCCTGAGTTCAAACCCCATACCATTAAAAAAAAAAAAAAAGCTGTATCTACCATCCTGTCTCTTTACCGTTACCCACCGTGTCACAGGGGAAAACCAGCTTTCACTCAATTACTTTGGGTGGGGCTCCGGCTCTGGGGGTGTAGCATATGACAAGGCTTCAGCCAATCAGAGAACTCCATTGCTCAGACCATGATGATTGGCTCAACCATAGATCTAGGATCCAATCAGAATTAACGAAGCACAAAGCAAACACCAGCTGTAACAAAAGGCTTGGAAAGAAATCGCTCTCCTGTGGGGAATCTGAGCGGGTGTAAGGTGTGGCACCTGGCAGCCAGCCTACAGCAGGAGGAGAGAAGCAGAACCGAAAGACCTGCCCTAGTGTGCGAGTTTAAAACCTTGCATCAACCAGCCAGAACGTGGTCCTACGCTGGGATTTTCCTTTTCAAATAAGTCAGTTAGATTGCGTTTTCAGTCATTTGGAACCAAACAGGTCCTGACAACACACCAGTAGTCTCAGCCTCAAGTGTGCACACTAGTCACAGGTTGGTTGTATGTTCACACCTGAGCCCATTGCTGGCGGCGGGGATGGAATATAGAGATTGGCCAGGCCTGAGTCATGTGACCACCCTATGAGTCAGAGGGGTGGAGAGGGGTGGAGTCACCTTCAGCCGAAAATCAGGACATGGTAGCCAAAGGAAACTCAGGGTGCTATCCCTCAAGTGAGTGGGAGAATGGATGCCAAACAAGTGAGAATATTGTCATTCTTAACATGTCATGATCCGTCTGCACCCCATTGTAATGAACTGCAGCCCTGAATTACCCGCCAGAACTGAAATCAAATGACTTGATCCCCTACTACACACTAAGCCTCTTCCCCCTCTAAACTACTTTTCTTTGTTTTGGTGGTGGTGGTGGCACTGGAGTTTGAACTCAGAGCCTTACACTTGCTATGCAGGCGTTCCACCAGTTGAGCCACTCCACCAGCCCTGTTTTTGAGTTGGGTACTTTCGAGATAGGGTCTCCTGAACTATTTGCCTGGGCTGGCTTGGAAACGTGATTCTTCTGATCTCTGCCTTCTGGGTAGCTAGGATTACAAGCGTGAGCCACCCGTGCCTTGCTAGTTGGAACTTTTGATGAGTGAGTTAGTCTAGACTGAGAGGTGTAGACAGGAAAGAACACTAAGCTCCCTCAAGAGGGAATGTGCTATAATCAAGAGGCATTGAGGCCAGGTTGTAAGGGGCACTTAAAGGGTCATTCCGTGTGTGGGAGAGTCATTGACATAGCAGACAGTGGCTTTATCACCCAGTCAACAATCTCACAAAAGTAGAAACCCAATGCCCCCTAGTGGTGAGACCTGGCATTCTTTGACACATGGTGCATTTCTAACACCAATCTAGAAATTAGTGATGTGGTTTGCACTTGTAGAGTTCCACTCCAATCATTCCAGAGAAGGCGCAGATCATCCCAAGTTCAAGGCCAGCCTGGGCTACATATACATATCCTGACTTTGCCTCAAAAGAAAAAAATGCTACACTTTGAAGAAGTTGTAGACATTTAGAAATACAGTTTTCTTTTAACATGTCCAATCCACTTCTCCAGCAGGAGTTCTCCCCCTCTCATCTCTCCCTTCTTGCTTTTTCTGTCCCCCCCCCACTTTGTAGATATTATGTGACCCACTGTCTGTTTTCCTCAAAAGTGAGCTTGGTGGAGAGCAGGATGAGATAAGGACTGTTTCTCTTGTTTGTTTCCGGGTCCTCAGCCCATAAAAGAGCACGTGGTATTCAATTTCTAGGTGGACAACTTGTGTTGCGTGCTCATTACGTGCCTTGCAGCTGTCTCTGCTCTTGGAACTTATGTTCTAGTGGGCACAGGTGGGCAACAGAGAAATATATGGCGCTGCAAGTGGTACTGGAAGCTGGATGTACAATGAAGTCTGGTAAGGGCCCTTCTGTTTCATAGTTTTCTGGGTTCCTTTGACATTTGAGCAGAGACCTGGAACAGGGTGGGAGCCCTGGGGAGATGTGAGAGAGACTGACAAGGGAAGGTAGAGTCCTCAGGGGAGCACATATTTAGTTGTCCTGAAAACAGACGGGAGGAGCCTGGGTGGGCAGAACTGTGTAGGACCTTGGAGGCCACTGTAAGGACCTCAGCTATAGTTTGGAGTGGACTAAGGAGCCACTGGAAGGTTCTGAACAGAGTGATCTTTTAGTAAGAATCACTCTGGCTGCTGTATGAAGAGCTTGTGAGGGGTCACAGAGGGAGCCAGGGTCAGGGAGGTCACGGCATGTGACAGTCGGGGAGGTGGGGGCTGCTCCTCGTGGCACGGGTCCAGGACAGTGGAGGCAGCGCAGATCCTAGGTAAACCTGGGTTTGAAGGCCAGCGAATTGTGCTGTTGACGAATAGGTAATTAGCGAATATTTTTGAACCCTGAGTCACACTGCTCCCTACAGCCACCCCAGCTCCCTGCTTTACAACTTTGACTTGGCCTTTTAAGCCCACACCCAATGCCAAGTTGGCCCCTGTGCCCAGAGAACTCGGGATCCTCTGGCCTCTGTCTCCCCAGAGACTTCCCGGTCAATTACCTGCCCGGTGCCTGGCCTCCACAGAAGGATGAGGTGTTTCCATCATGGCAGGCCCTTGTCTGTCCTGCTCACCACTGTACCCGTAGCCCAGTACAGCAAAGGTGCTCGGTGAATATCAGCTGACAGGTGCCCTACTGTCTTCCATTGGGTCTTTGCCTCTATTTCCTGCCCAGTCTGAAGGACTCCAAGCTGAAGTTGAATGCTAAGCCAGGGACACCCCCAGGACCAGGTCCTGTTCCCCCAATTCTTGAGCCCTGACCACTGGAAGTCTGAGAGGCCGTAAGAGGCCCAAAGCCACTGCCCCCGGGGTGCTGATGCCACCCCAGCACGTTGAATTTTTAGATGCCAGAGACCTGTGTGCGCTCCTACCCCACAGCTGTGACAACATAGCCACCCAGTGACCATTTTTCTAATCGTTTATTTTATAGCAATTGTCATGATTAGAGAAGTAAATAACACATTTAAAAACCTTCTCAGGGCCAAAGGATGCCAGAGTATTTACAAACACATGGGATGGAGTGGCAAGACAGGATCTGGGGCTCTGGGGCTGGGATTCCACCCAGGACCCTGCCCAGGCCCAGAGCCAGACTTGGACGTCAGTGCCAGTATCTAGGCCTGTCCCACTGGCCACAGTGTGGACTCAGGGAGCATGTGGTGGCCTTGGGGCTCTGCTCAGCGGGCCTGGTGGGAGACCCTCTAGCTGACTTGTGGCCGCTCCTCCCATCCAGGGGCTCCCCACACCCCACAGGCCAGCTTAGAGGGGCCTCTGGGAAGCACCGAAGGACAGGGGCAGTGTGGGAACACCGGCTGGGACAGAGACACGCACACATGTGCACACACACATACACACTGTACCTTCACAGAACGTCAAGGGAGGTTTCTTTTTTGTTTTTTCACTTTTTTTTTTTTTTGGTCTCCTAAGTCTTCATGTCTATGGTGTTAATTTTTTGCTATTAATTTTTTCTTTGACAGTGACATAAACTGAGGTAAACATCTGTGACCAACACCTCTCCTAAGTGGCAAAGGGTCCCAACCCTACTGACAGAGGCAGCAGCAGCAGTGGCAGCGACCATAGGAGCACAGCCTGACCTGGTTCCAGTCCTGCTTCAGGGTCAAGGCTGGGGCTGCCTCTGCAATCAAGGGGGTGGGCTACATACCTACAGCCCCTTCCCAGTGCTAACATCCTAGATACTACGACAGGGAAACAACTCCCACACAGGACCTTGGCAAGAGAGAGAAAGAGAGAGAGAGAGAGTGCAGGCTACTGTGGAATCTCACTTCCTTGTTATTGCAGGAGATCAGGATGTCGAGTGGCCTAAGGCAAAGGAGAATTGACGCTGGGAGAGGAGAGCCTCATGGCCCCAGTGGGCTGGGGCAGTGATGGGGCCTTCTCTGAGATTCGGCCCTTGGTGGGAGGGGTTTGCTACTTACCTGGTACATGGGCCCCATTTCACCTGGGGAGGTGGGGTCTCCAGAAGGGGCATGAGAGGAGAGCGGGGCCAGGCCCTGGGGTGACACTGTTTGTAAACTAGACCCAAGCAGGGCACGGGACCTATAGCCCTTTTGCGCGGTGGGAATGGGGGGTGAGTGCAGAGGTGGGGCTCCAGGCTGGAGGGTGGTTGGTGCCCTCTCTAGCCAGCCCAGCCTACCAAGGAGCACCTCAAATGCCCCGAAACCCCAAGAGGGACCCTGGTGGAGGCAGTCCCAGTGGTGGGCAGCGCACTGCCAGGCCCTGGAGGGGCTGCCTGGGTGTTGAGGTTATTGCGGGATCCCTCACAGGCCACTGCAGAGGGCAGGGGGCACCAGATGGTGCTGGGTGAGGTGGGCTCCTGTCTTAGGGCCCCTGACTGGTGGCAGGTGCCTCCTTGTGGATTCCCTGAGGGGTGTGTGGACCGCACAGGCCTGGCCGGACTGCCTGGTGGGAACCGCAGGGCAGGGCAATGGAGATGGTGGCATAGTCACCAGGATGCACAAGTTCACCCACTCCTGTCCTCTCTGCACTGCACAACTAGTCACACTCCCCCCACATTTCTAGTTATCCCATCCTACCCATCCTGTGCTCCCACCCCTGCATTCTCCAGTATCAAAAACAGGGGGCGTGAGTGGTAATGGCCTGCCTCACTCCCAGGGCTAACACAATGACCCCAATACAAAGAAATCCAGGAAAATTTTCTGGCAGTCACATGCCTGCTGGGAGCCCATGGATGGGACAGCAGGCTGGGAGGGGCCCTGGGGGAGGCGCCCCTGTGCAGCAGGTCTTTGCACTCACTCACTACCAAGCCTGGCAGGTGAGCCCCTGCCCTGGAGCTTCACCTTAGTGGCTGTGCGGCCAAGGCAGCTGCCTTCCCTCCTGGCTTCAAGGTCCTCCTCAGCTGAAGGGGGCGTGGGGACAACACTAGGTTCTTGGGGCCTCTACCTGCACACACACTTAGGTGGCATATGCAGGCTTTTGCTACATTTTCCAGGGACCTGGCCTGTCCCTCCAACCCTCCAGGAAAGGGGCAGGACATGACATGGAGGCTCTCACCCAAGCACTGCTCCCAAGGGTCACGACCCCTTCTCTGCCCAACTCCTTTTCTGTGCCCAGGGTGCGGCGGGGACCGAGTGGGGCAGGACTGACCCTCCAGGGGGAAGCGAGGAGCCAGGAGCGCTGGTGAGGGTTCCGGACTCAGGGTGTGGTCTGCAGGCTCCTGGCTTGGGGCGTGTCGCCGCCTCTGGTGATGGGGGCTGCCGAGTTTGGCTCCTCTGGGCCGAGGCCACCAGCCCGAGAGGTCCTCTGGCCCTAGCCCGCCGCGGCCCCACCGGGTGCTGGTCCTCCTCGTCTACACTACTCCCTCCCGCCGCGCAGCTGCTGCTCCGTTCCCGGTTCCCGCCGCGGCGGCCCGGCCCGGAGCGGACCCGGGGCTGCTCCCGCGCCGCCCGGCTGCGTGCTCGGCGCCCGGCCCGAGGGCGGCGGGCGGCTCAGACGCAGATCTCGATGGCCGTGGCCAGCACCACCTGCCCTTTGCCCTTGTCCGGGCGGCCGTCGGTCCTGGCGGGGGGCCCCGGGGGCGCCAGGCCGGCCTCGGGCACGGGCACCGGTACAGGCACAGGCACGGGCACGGGCACGGGCACCGGGCCGACGGCGGGGGGCGCGGGCCTAGCCACGCCGCCGCCCTCGGTCAGCACGGTGCGCTTGAGCGGCGCGGGCGCCTCGAGGCGCAGGGGCCCCGCGGCGGGCGGCCGGTCCCCGGGGGGTCTGCGCGCGCGGTGCGACGGCCGCCGCCGCAGCTCGGATGTGAGCTCGTGCTTGAGGAAGCGGAAGACCTCCTTGGCCGGGCCGCGGCGCTCGGGTTCCAGGGCCAGCAGGCGCTGGAACATGCGCAGCGCCGGCTCGGTGAAGCGGCGCCACTGCGACGGCAGCCCGGGCAGCCGGCCGCGCTGCCAGCGCACGAACTCCTCGAAGAATGCGTCGGCGCCCGACGCCGCCTCCCACGGGAAGTTGCCGGTGAGCACGCAGAAGATGAGCACGCCGAAGGCCCACACGTCCACGCCCGTGTCCACCGCGAAGCCGTCGGCGCGGCCCGCCTGGCACACCTCGGGCGCCGTGTACGGGATGGTGCCGCTCACGCGCTTCACGCGGCAGCCCACGCGCCGCGTCATGCCGAAGTCGGCCAGCTTCACGCGGCGGCACTCGCGGTCGAACAGCAGCACGTTCTCGGGCTTGATGTCACGGTGCACCAGCTGCCGCCCGTGCATGAAGTCCAACGCCAGGCCCAGCTGCTGCACACAGCGCTTCACTGTGTCCTCGGGGAGCCCGACCTGCGCGGGGAGAGTCTAGCTCAGGGCACCCGGCAGACCGCCCGAATCCACCTCCACCCTCTAGCTGGGCCTGGCACCTCTCCGCACCTTGACCTTGGTCCTGGTGCTGTCCGCCTCCCCCAATCTATAAGGACTTCCCTGCTCCTTCTCTAGCTGGTCGGTCACCTTTTGTCCTCACACCCTTACCTAAGAGGCAGAGCCGATGCCAACCTCTCCACTGTCCCTGCCCCAGGGACCATGTCTGGGGCCTCCTTTCCAGGTGCACCTGGCACCTCCCGCCTTGTGCAGCTCCTTGGAGACCATCGGATTGCTTCCTTCAGAGTGCCTGTCTCAGCCTGCTTTTATCTGGCTAGGATGTGGGCAGGCCCTTTCTCTTCCCCAGTGCCCATCACCAAGTGACACAGTAAGTACTTGTTGGCTAAGTGGTCTCCCAGTCTGGGGTCTGAAGACCACCTTCCCTTCCTATGCCACCATGCAAGGTACCTGGGGAGGGATGATGTCGAACAGGTCCCCGGCGGGTGCATACTCCTGAGCGAAGACATAGCAGTCTTCTGTCTCAAAGACCACATCGAAGACCTTGATGATGAAGGGGCTGGATGACAGGCTGTTGGTGATGCTCACCTCCCGCAGGAAATTCTTCAGCTTCGTCTTGCTCTTGTTCACAAACTTCAGTGCCATTTTGGTGCCTGGCAGGGGCCACAGCAGCAGTGGTGAGGTCCCTCTCTCTCCTCCCTGACATCTCTCTACGCCTGTCTGCACAGCCTGCCCAGTGACAAGGTCAGGCAGCAGAGAGGACTTGCCTAAGCCACTGCATGGCAGGGTTGACCTGTGTCTTTTACACCTTCGGTCCTGCACAAGGAAGGTGGCAGGAGGGCCTCCTGCCTCCTGCCTCTGTATCATGTTTCCCTGTCACATTGCCTGCTCATTTGTTCCCTAGCTGGAACATGGCTCCCTGAGCACTGGAGCCTGCCTTGTACCCCAAGCACACAGTAGGTGCGCAGCAAATGTTAAAAGGATGAATGAAGAAGAAACAAGGCACTGTAAGGCCCAGGTTCCTGCCTAGCCACACAGCTGTATGGCATGGCTGGCCCTGCCTTCAGTACTCCATGCACAGCCCAAGCTTCACAGTGACCTATGAGGTGGGCACGAGTTGTCTTCTTTTCTTTTTTGGCATTCCTGGGCTTTCATTCTGGGCTTGTGCTTGCTAGGCAGGCACTCTGCACTTGAGCTATGCCTCCAGCCCTTTTTTTACTTTTTCAGTTTTTGCCTGGGTCTTCCAAGTAGCTGGGATCACAGATGGGTGTCACCATGCCGAGCTCATTGGTTGAGATCGGAGTTTCACTAACTTTTTCCCCCTAGCTAGCCTTGAACTGTGATCCTCCCTATTTCTGCCTCCTGAGTAGCTGGGGTTATGGGTGTGAGCCACCGCACCTAACCTCAGTTGTCTTCTTTTCTAACTGAGGAAACTGAGGCACACAGACATAAAGTCACTTGTCCAAGGTCACACAGCAAGTGAGTAGCAATCAGATGACCTTCCAGTGTTCTTCCTGCTGCCCTTAGTTGGCACCAAGGCCCCACCCAGCTGTGTGCAGCTGTGGGAGCTCATATAGGCCCCACCCCTGGGTGCTTGCATGGGCACCGTGTGAGCCTAGGCTATGGGAAGGTGTAGCCCATTGGTAAGCAAGAGGGCTCTGGAGCTGAGGATGGGTGTCACCTAGTGCAAGCCCTGTGAGGTTCCTGCTGGATGTTCAGGTCTCGGTGTCCTTGGCTGAGAAACAAGAGATGGCCACCCTAATCTCACAGGGTCATTTCTTACCACCCTCTAAATGTGGTGCTGTGTTCCCAAGGACTCACCCTCACCTCTGACCACCTCTGTAGGGTCAGCTGCCACCAATGTTCTCCAGGCACAACTGCCAGACTCCACATGTTCCTATAGCTATCTCCTCAGCTGTCTTGAAGGCACCCAATGGCCCCAGAGTAGCCTACCCTCCAATTTGTGCCCTCTGCCCCCAAACCCCTGCCTCGTCTTCCTCCACCTGGTCCTCAGTCTCCACCTCCTTGCTGGCTGCACAGAGAGCCTGGTCATACCCCATTCCCAACCTTACTACTCTGCTGCCCCACAGATACTTACCTGTACCCTTGTAAGCCACCAGGTCAACCTTCCCATAGGTGCCTTTGCCCAGCTCCCGGACGAGCTCGTAGTGTTTGGTGACATCACTGGCGGCCAGCGTTCGGAGAGTCAAGGCCTGCATGTCCTCGGTGAGGAGGGGCACACCTGCGCCCTGCCCAGGGGCAGCCCCTGGCCCACAGCAGGGCAGGGAGTGGGGCGGCTCAGGTTCCGGGCAGCCCATGCTCATCTTCTCCCTGTTGTGGGGGGGTGACATGGACAGTGACATCAGGCCAGGCCGCCTCTTCCACCTACCCCTTGCCTCCCCAGCACCCAAGAAACTGTGGGCTGGTTCCATGCCAGGCCCAAGATGACCACAAGGGGGCAACAGGCATCTTTGTCCTGTCACCTCTGAAGCTTCTGGGTCCAGGCTGGAGCCAGTCTCTGTCCTTCTTCAGCACTTTGGATATCACTGGCCCACTTGTTTCACACAGTCATCCACAGCGCCAGGCAAGGCATACATGGTTATGCCACACAAAGATACAGCCATATGTGGCGTTCACACACAGGCTCCCAATCACAATTTTCACTTTGTTTTTCTTGCAATGCTGGGGATCAACCTTGGACCTCGTATGTACCAAGCACTTGAGCTCTATCACTGAGCCCCATCCCAGCCCCATTCACAAGTATTAATGAAGCACCTGCTGCTTGCCCCAGGGACCAGCACTAAACAGATACCCGAGAATCCCTGCCCTTGAGGGCTGGCGTCCCAAAGGAGACAAATTATCTATCACAGTCAGAGGCGTCACAGGCTTTCAGGAACATGGGGTGGGGAAAGGTAGTCTGAGGACAGGGGCTGCTGTGTCAAAAACCTGAGACATAATCTCACTCTTGCTTCAGGTTGCATGGTGCCAATGTGACCATGCAGAGACAGCGCACAGCCATGCCATTGAAGTCTTATGATCCCTCCCGAAGCACGACACAGTGCAGCTGGGGTCTGGGGCCCTGCCCGGCCCTCAGACCCAAGGACAAAGCACCTGCCCCACCCACAAAGACCCTGCCTGCCCGCTCACATTCATAGCCTGAGACCGCTTCGGTGTCCATACCAGCTGGGGTGGTCTTCCTGGACTTGATCTCATAGCTACTGTTTGTCTCCAGGTGGCCTGGTGCCCTTGAAGCTCCCTGTACCTGGCCGCAGGGTGCAGGGCTGGGGACGGGAGACTGACTCTGGAGGTTCCAAGCAGGTGGCAGGGAACTATGCCAGACCTGGGCCTTCATCTTTTTTCCCTGTGTATTTCACTTCCTTTTTCTACAGTTTAATTAAGTTCTACTTGATGTACAATAAACCACATATATTTAAAGCAGACGACCTGATGAGTTTTGACATATGTAGATTTACAAAACCATCTTTGTGATCAAGATAACAAACATACCTGTGACTCAAGAGTTTCCTTTTGCCCCTCTGGCACCCCCATCCCTCCCCATTCTTGTCTTACAGGCAACTGTCCAGGACCCTGGTTTCTTATCTGTAAAAGGGGTAGTGGTGGAGAGGGGAATGAACCGCTTCCAGGTGCGCATGGGCAGAGGGCCAGCACTGTGGCCCCCATCAGCTCCCTCCACCTGCCTCTTTATCCCATCTTAGCCAGCGCAGGACTCTCAGCCTGAGGCCCACAGCTCCATATGAGAAAAGATGCAGATTTGGAGCCAGCCAGCCCGGTTTGAGTGTCAAAGCTGGACGTCCCTGGGCAAGTGACTTCATGTGCCTCAGTTTCCTCATTTGTAAAAAGGACATAGTAACAGTAACTTCTTCCTGTGGGTTGAGGCAGGATTAGATAAAACAGATGGGAAGTAGGGGTGCTTGGTCCACAGTGAGTGCTCTGTAAGTGCTTTGTCGTGTTGCGAGACCAGGACCATAATAGCTACATCGGCTCTTGCTGAGCCTCACTGGAGGCCAGGGGCCCTCCATGAGCCTCACAGCTCCCTTCGAGGCCCAAAGCCTCTTCCTGCACCTCCCCCCCTCCACCTCGGCAGCACGACCCAGCCTCCCACTTCACACGGAGAGGAGGAACATCAGGAGGGAACTTCCTGGCCTCCCACCCAGCCACGGCAGAGCTCCATCTGCACCATCCTCTCAGCTGGCTGGGGTGCAGCCCCCGCCCCCTGTGCTGGCTTCCACCCCTTCCTGCCTCCCGGGGATCCTGCTCCCTCCATTCAAGAAGCAGCTCTGTCATGGCCCCATTTCATGCGAACCTTCCTGCCCCCCAGCTGAGGCCTTTCCCCCCAAGTTCATTTGGATGGGAACGTGTGCGGGGACTCCCTCTGGAGTATGGTCCGCTACTCTCACAGACCCTAGGAGGAAGGAATGGCATCAGGCCCTCAGAAAACCAGACCGAGAGCCAGCCATCAGGTCTCCATGCAGCCACAGCTGGCTTCAGGCTGGCCAGCACTGGGCCTGTCTCTGCTGCAGCTTTTCCTGGGCTATATAGCGGGGTAGCTGGACTATGGTGGGTGCTGTCTCCCCACGATAGTCTCTCCCTGGCTTCAGGACTGCCGTGGGTCACCTCTTCCACGTTCAGTCAAATGTCCACAAGCCGCCTGATCACGAGGAAACCGCCAGGTTGGCTCACTGCCGGCAGGGAGTGAGTGGGCTCAGGTTTGGCATCCTGAACCCCCTTCATGGACAATGTGGGGCTATCCCCGAAGGGCCCCAAAACCTCTTTGCCTTGCACTCTTCCTCACCCACTGGAGATGGCTGGACTGCCCTCCCAAACCCCTTGTGAAGTGTGCACTCCCAGCATTGTGAAGTGGATGGCCCATGTGTGTACGGGCACGTGTGTGCAACTCCCTGCTTTGGGCTTCAGCCCTGCCTGTCATCTCAAGCTGTTTCTGCATCCCCTGGGGGCTTGACTGGCAGCGCCACATAGCTGCATATCTCCCCTCTTTCCCTTGGGTCTCAGAGCTGCCCTGGGTTGGGGCACAGCTGTGGACAGCAAGTTTGGAGGCTCAAGTTCAGCCCCATGCTCTAACCATCGTGCACAGCCTCTGCAGCTTCAGCGCCCCTGGCCAGGTGTCTCCACCATCCTGAGCAACCACCACAGCCTGCTCCATGTCCCTTAGACCCCTCCCATGTCTTCCTGGCCTCAGGTCCTGTGCAGGGAATCCTGACTTGTGCCTCTGCTGCACACCTGGATTCTGACAGTGGTCCTGCCCTTCTCTGGGCTCCTACTGAATATGAGGCGAGGTGTCTCAGCTGCACCTCTCTTTCCATAGTGGACAGCTCCCCAGGGGCAGGACTAGATCAGAGTCCCTCTCCCCTTCTTCCCTTCCTTTGGTTCACAGGGTCCAGTGTTGGGGTCCCCCATGGCCCAGCCTTCCTCTCCCTGCAGGCCTTTCTCCACAAGGTGTCAGCAAGAGACAAGCAATTAATCCACACCCCGTCCTGCTGCTGCATCATTCCTCAGGTACACTCTGCTTCTGACCCACTTACCATGTGTGTGACTTCAGAGGCACAGTGGGGAGTGACAGACTGCACGGACCTGGAGGCTGAGTAGCCTTGGCCTTGGTCCTAACATGTGCCACTTTTCAGCTGGGTGACCTTGAGCAAGTCCCACCCCTTCCCTGGGCCACAGCTCACAAAATAAACAGGGATGCACTAACTTCCACACACTTAGTACTTCCTCCTTCTACCAGGCAAGTGCTATTATTAGAGGATGGCAAGAGGCACAGAGGTAATGCAACTTGCCCAGAGTCATGCTTCCGATTGGCTCCCAAGTTGGTGCTTTACCACTGTTTTCCCAGGTTGGAACATTGGGATGTCTCACTCAGATTCTTCAAAAGCTGCTGAAAAACTGAGGCCTCAGCAAGAACGTGTGCCGTCCTCACACTCCTGGGTGCCAGGCCCTAGGCTGGGCGCTGTATGGGCACTGACTCATTTGCTCCTCTTTAAGCCATGCCACAGGTAGGCATGGTAGCTCCTCACCCAGATGAGATCTCCAGGTGCCGAGTGAAGTGTGACACGTCTACCTCACAGGGTGGTTGGAAGCGTGAAAGTATGTATGTCTGCATAGGGGACCTCGGTCCTCCAAGTACAGACATCACTGTCCTTGTTACATCTGCTTGAAGGACAGCCGTGACCTTCCCAGTACCAGGTGGTGGAGGCCTCTGCAGACCTCTGTTGCTGCCATGTGGCTGGCACCACATCCACCTACTCAAGCTATGCTGCACCAGGGGACCCTTTGGGTCATGCATCCCCAAAGCGTATCCTCACTGGTCCCAAGGGAGGCCCTCCACCTTCCATCTATGTGGCTGAGGGCAGGTGGAGGTCCTCTGTCTCCATGGCAGCAGTCATGGTTCTGCCACCTGCTAGGAGGGCCACTGTGGTGGGGGAGGGTTCCCCAAGCAAGAAGCAAGACTGAACCGCCTACCACTTCCTGTTGGCGGGCAGCTCGGGCTGGGTGCCACCCTGTGAAGCTACACTCGATGCAGCACCAAAATCAGGGAGATTTGGAACCCCTGTCCCTTGCTGCACACACACACGCATGCAGAGACACACCCAGCATGTACACACGCACACACACAGAAGCACACAAATGCACACACAGATATGGACACAGTGCTGCCAGTATGGCAAAATTTCTTTCACTGAGTCCTCACAAGAACTCTGAGAAGGGGGCTAGAAGCTTCCTATGTTTTACAAAAACAACTTAATTGAGGTATAGCTTGTATGCCGCAAAAGTCACCCACTGTGAGTGTACAATTCAGAGACTTTAGTAAGCGCACAGAGCTGGGCAGCCATTACCACAATTGGGTAATGCTGTTTCTATTTTACAGTGAGAGCAGAGGCCCAGGACATTGGTGATCTGTCCATGGTAACAGCAAAGACAGCTAACCGTCCACCATCCATGTGTCTCTTCTTTACGATGCAAAGTCGCTGTCTAGCAGGGTGCTACATGCTCAGCCTCCTTTGCATAGAGGTGTGGCATGTGGCTGGTTTTCCTCACGGGATGTGAGCGGAAGTGATGTGTATCACTGCCAAGCTGGGCCTTCTCAGAGCTGCAGAAGGCTCCTCTATTCTTTCTTCTGGGTGCCAGCCTTCACAGAAGATCCTGAAACCTTAAAACATGGTAGCACCACAAGGAGGAGAAGCCTGGGCGCCCAAGGAAGGGGTGTGGAAGGCTGGTGAGGCTTACCTACGCTGCATACTTCTGTGAGCCAGAAGCAAACCTTCCTGTGTTACATGGCTGAGATGCAGGTTTATTTGTCACAGCAGCTAGCACTACCCTGCTTCATGGGTTATATAGCCAGCAAGCAAGAGCTAAGATTTGAATGAAGACCAGTGTGTTCACCTGCCCTGGATGGTGGCCGGGTTCCCCACAATGCTAATAACACTGAGGCCAAGGGATAAGAGTCCAGTTACAGGAGTGGGTGAGGGGAAGCAGTCTACAGAGGAGGACCTGATCTTAGTCCATCTTGTGAGAGAACAATCATGCCTTATATACAGGTGCTTTGCTAATGACAACCCCCGGGAAGTAGACACTTACTATCACTAGCCTCTCTTTTTTTTTTTTTGTGGCACTGAGGTTTGAACTCAGGGCCTCACACTTGCTAGGCAGGCACTCTACCACTTGAGTCACTCCTCCAGCCCACTAACCTCATTTTATAGAGGGATACTGCTACGGTTTCAATGTCCCTCCAAAACATGGAAATCAAGTTGCCATGTTAACATTGGTTAAGGTGATACCCCGAGAGACTAGGTCAT